AGAGAATCCAAGATAAGTTTACTTTTATCACATTTGGCCCTTACTGCATCTGACCTGGCCTCTCACCAGTTCACTTTCCCTCCAATGACTGCCTACTTTGCGTGCTTCAGCAGGACCCTGGACCTTGTCAGCTCTGAGAGAATAGTTGGAGCTCTGCCTTCTGTCCAGACTGCTGACTGTGAGCAGCCCTGTTGTCTCCCAAGAGAAGGGGTACCTCTTCCCTACCACACCCTGGAGACCATCACACATACTGACTCCTTATAGCCTGTATTAGCCCCACCTCAGAGATGGACACCAGGACTTTGACTGGGATCACACAGCCTCAGCCAGGCTTTAGTTCCCACACAGTAATTATTGCACTCTTACAGGGCAGATTCATTTTCATTTTGAGCAAATTGGGGCTGGTTTCACTGGGGTTTTTGTTTGTTTGTTTGTTTTGGTTTTGTTTTTGGTACTAGGTATTGAACTCAGAGACACTTGACCCCTAAGCCACACCCCCAGCGCTAGTTTGTATTTTATTTTCAGAGACAAGGTCTCACTGAATTGCTTATTAGCACCTCGCTTTTGCCAAGGCTGGCTTTGAACTCGAGATCTTCCTGCCTCCACCTCCCAGGCCACTGGGATTAGAGGTGTATGCCACCGTGCCTGGCAGCTTCAATGTTTTAATCTAGTGTGGAAAGCCTCTCCCATCACCAGCACCCAAACCTGGGACTTTCTAGGCCAAACAAATCCATTCCTGAAATCCCAGTGAACCGGTGCTATTGGTTGGGCTCTGTAGTGGTTGGCTTCAACTGCTGCTATAAATGTCCAGTTCTTGGGGGGAACTTCCCCTGGGCTGATCAGAGAATCAGTAGCTAGGGAGTGGTAGAAATCTGGCCCAGTTCCCTCTGTACCCAACACCAGTGGGATCAGGCCAGGCTGAGCCTGACTTCTGTGATACAGCCCAATTCATTACTCCCTTTCTACAAGGAGACAGGGCTACACACCAGCAAATGACAGAGCTGGGATTTGAATCAGGCTTTTCATGTTCATAACCACCAAAGGAGTATTCAAATGATAGAACTTCAAGTAAGAGGGAATGAAGGGATCCTGTCAGCGATGGGAGGCTCTACACCTGTCCTTGAATGAAAAAATGTATGGAGTCAGTCATGGTGGCGCACACCTGTAATCCCAGCAACTTGGGAGACTGAGGCAGGAGAGTCCCTGAGTTTAAAGCCAACCTCAGCAACTTAGCAAGGTCGTGAGCAACTTGGAGAGACCCTATCTTAAAATAAAATATAAAAAAAGGGCTGGGGATGTGGCTCAAGCGGTAGCGCTCTCGCTTGGCATGCGTGCAGCCCGGGTTCGATCCTCAGCACCACATACAAAGATGTTGTGTCCACCGATAACTAAAAAATAAATATTAAAATTCTCTCTCTCTCTCTCCCTCTCTCAAAAAATATATATATATATAAAAAGGGCTGGGGTTGTTACTCAGTTGTTAAGCACCCCTGGGTTCAATCCCCAGTACCAAAGAAAAAAAAAGAATGAGAAGATGAGTTTGCCACAGGCTCTGTGAATGTGGTGTGCTCTTACCCAGTTAGAACCACACCTCCACCCTACCCACTGAATAGATGAGGATACTGAAAGGGCCAGAGGGCAAGCGGGCCTTCTTCTTGCCTGAGAAGAGACAGGCCTGGAAACCAAGTCTCTGCCTTTCAGCCCTTCCTACCCCAGCAGTGAGATCTTAGCTCAGGCATGGCCTTGCAGCTGGCCCCAGAGCCCAGCTGTGGGAACATAGTGAAGGCCTCAAACACCTGCAGCCCCTGCCCAGCTGGGAGGGGCCTAAGGCCTGGGGAACAGAGTAAGGTAGCTGTGCAAGTCAAGCAGATGTGGTTGACATGGACTAAGGCATGTTATTTAGCCTTTCTGAGCTTTGTGTGCCCCATCTGTAAAATGGGCATGATTGATACCCCACCTCATAGAATCTCTGTGCATCTTAAGTTACAAAGCCCCAAAGCTGCTGGATACAACTTAGTAAATGACCCAAGTTTGGGCCATCAGCCTGTGTATTAGGGTCAGCCAGGAACAGACACTCTTGTTCCCTGAGCAGGTTTGCCTCCTTTTGTGCAAGGTTGTAAGTGGAGGATCATCTGATGACCTAACCTTGCCTTCTACTCCATTGTGGACTTTCTTTTCTTGACCCAGAGATGAGGCTGTCTTGCCCTTTATAGGTTGGCAACCAGAGATTGTAAGTGTGTCTGTCTGGGAGGTCCCTGAATTTCCTCAAGGCCTAAGCAAGGCTGGGAAATTTTGAACAGAATGGAAAGTGTTCTGGGTCAGAGCTCCTAGAACATATCACCTCCAGATTAAGCTGGGCACAGGACCTAGCTTCCAGCTCCCTGGGCTTTTCTGTTGTGGTTTCTGTTACTTTAGAATTTCTCATTTCATTCCCATTTCTCTGCTGATGAGGGTTTTTAGTTTTTGAAATCCAATACAGAGCCTGGCTTCATAGATGTCTCTTGGATGAAAGACAGATGGATTTTTTTTTTTTTTTAACTGAATTTTTCCACCCATGCTGGGAATTGAATCTAGGGCCTTGTGCATGTGAGGCAAGCCAACTGAGCTATTTCCCCAGCCCTTAACTGAATTTTTCATATTTTGGTAATTGTAGATTCACATGCAGTGTAAGAAATAATGTGAAGGGATCCCTTTAGCTGCATGCAGTGGTGCACAGCTGTAAAGCAGCTTGGAAGACTTAGGTGGGAAGATCACAACTTTGAAGCTAGCCTGTACAACTTAGTGAGGTCCTGTCTCAAATTTTTAAAAAGTAATAAAAGGGCTATAAATGTAGCTCAGTGGTAGACCACTTGTCTAGAATGTATGAGACTGTGGGTTCAGTCCCTAGTATGGTACCAGAAAAGGTGGGGCAGACAGGGTTTCCTGTGTATTGACCTTTACCCAGTATTTTTCTATGGTAAAATCTTGCAAAACTGTAGGACCATCTCACATCCAAAATATGGACATAGTTACAGTCCACCCAATCTATTTGTATTTCCCCAGTTTCTGTCATACTCACATGTGCACATTTGTTTAATTCTGTGCAGTTTCATAACACATGCAGATATAATGATTCCCAGTCAAGATGCTAATCCAGGCCATCACCACATAGGGTCCCTCTTGTTTTTAAACCACACCTACTTTTCTCTTGCTCATCCTGTCAGCTTTCCCCCTCAGTTCTCCTACCCCAGTACTGGCAATTACTAATTTCTTCTCCATCTCTGAAATTAAGTCATTGCAAGAATTTTATAGCTAGGCATGGTGGCACAGGCCTATAATCCCAACAACTCGGGAGGCTTAGGCAGGAGGATCGTGAATTCAAAACCAGCCTCAGCAACTTAGGCCCTAAGCAGCTTAGTGAGACCCTGTCTCTAAATAAAAAAATACCAAATAGGCTGGGGATGTTGCTCAGTGGTTAAACACCCCTGGATTCAATCTCTAGTAACTTAAAAAAAAAAAAAAAAAGAATTTTATCAAGATAGAATTATATAGGATGGAACTTTTTGAAATTGCTTTTTTTCACTCAGCATAATTTGCTTGTGATTTTTTCCAGATTGTTGCTTATAACAATCATTCATTCATTCTTATTGCTGAGGAGTATTCCATGGTATGGGTGTACCACAGTACATTTAACCATTCACCCACTGACAGACATCTAGGTTGTTTCCAGCTTTTGGCTGTTACAAATAAAGCTGCCCTGAACATTCTCGCTATAATTCCTGTGGGATAAATGCCCAAGGGTGCAGTTGCTGGGTTTTATGCTAATTGCATGTTTGATTTTATAAGAAAATGCATTCTGTTTTCAGGGTGGTTTGTGCCATCAGTCTGTCCACATCCACATAACATTTAATGTTATCACTTCCTTTTAGCTCTTCTGATAGATTTGTGTAGTAATACTGCATAGTATGTGCAATTTGCAGGAAGAAGGATTTTGCTCTCCCTTATCCGTGTCCCCTATGGCACTGGGCCTTGTTTTGTGAGTTGCTGTTGGGCTATCACCATCTGTGTGAGTGGTAGCTTTTGAAGGCAGGGCTTATCTGGCTGCCACTCCCAGGATGAGGCAGGGCTTGTTTTGATTCCCACAGGGCAGAGGGCACCTGCAGTTAAGGTGCTGAGAAAGGACAGTGGGCAGACCCAGCCCTCGCAGAGGCAGCACTCCTGGAAGAGCACCTTCTGTTTCCAACAGTGCAGCCTCCGAGAAGCAAGACACTGGCCTGTGGTATCCTATGCCATGCTGAGTGCCCTACCCAGGCGGGGCTAGGAATGTGATTCAGAAATTTCTCAGAGCCCACTTTTGGTAGCTTCTGATTCCCTGAATCTTAGCAGAAGACAGGGAGTTGGACCAGGCGTGATGGAGTCTTGGGGATGGTAGGTTGTTATGTGGGTAGTCACATGAGGAGGAGGAGGTGGGGTGATAAAGGCAAGATGGAAAGGGGTTAGCCAAGTCCTGAAAGATAAGTTCATCTTTGAAAAGATGGGAAGGCACATCCACACAGAAGGAAGAGATAGGGTGAAAAGAAGAAGGAAAAGACCGGGGAGGAGTAGGTGTCTCAGCGACTGTGAGGAAAGCAAAGTTAACCATTCCTCGGCTGTCTTGAGCTCCACTGCTACCACCACCTCTTCCCGGCATGGGTCAGGCTCTGTCCCAGCCTTGGGGCTTTGAACTTAAGTGCACCTGGCCATCTATCCTATGCCCCAGCTGAATAATACCTTTGTGTGTGACTGAGGTGGACAGTGTCCTTGGTTAATGTTGCATTCCCTCCTAGCCTTGGCCTCAAATGGTGGTGGGCAGGGCCTGTGAGTGTCTATCTTGGTTGTTGGGAACCTCATATTCTTGTTCCACAGGTCCTCATAGAGGTAATGTCTGAGGCTGGAGTTAGGGCCAGGTCAGGCAGGGTCTCAGTCTTGAAAGGGGCTTCAGAGGGTTGGAGGCTTCACTTTCTCCTCTCACCAACCTACAGGTTCATCATGCCTAGTGGCATATAAGAAGACCCCACCACCAGTCCCTCCACGTACCACATCAAAGCCTTTCATCTCCGTCACAGTCCAGAGCAGTACCGAGTCTGCCCAGGACACCTACCTGGACAGCCAGGACCACAAGAGTGAGGTGACAAGCCAGTCGGGCCTAAGCAACTCATCAGACAGCCTAGACAGCAATACCCGACCACCAAGCGTGACACGGGGCGGAATCACCCCAGCCCCTGAAGCCCCAGAGCCACCTCCAAAACATGCAGCTTTGAAGAACGAACAAGGGACCCTGACCAGCTCCGAGTCTCACTCTGAGGCCATCCCCAAACGGAAACTGTCATCAATAGGAATACAAGTAGGAGCCCCTTTTGCACTGTGTCCTCAGTCCATTCTGTGCACCTGCCTGCGTGTAATTACATCTGGCGGAGGCCCACTAGGTCTCTTGGGAAAAGGTGGTTTATCTGTCAATTTTGGGGGTCTCCTCCAAGGGGCTGAGCCAAACTTCACTCAGGCATGCTCTCCTCATGTCCACCCACCATGCTGCAGAGCCTGCGCCGTGGGCATATATTCCTGCTCCTCTGGTGGGTTATCCCAGTGAATGTAGTTACACTCAGCCAGCCATCTCCTGTCCACTGTTTGCTGTCCACTGTCTGTCTGTCCACTCCACCCTTTGCCCTGCCAGCCAACCCATGGGAGGCAGGACTGGCCTAACAGTTCTTTAATCTAAGGTCAGCTCGGGTACGGAAGCCATAGCCCCGCTTGGCAGTGGGAACAGCGCGGAACATTAACACCGAAGGGTCACGGGCCCAGGACCCAGGGCCCTTGAGCTGTGGGGGTTGCTCAAGGGGATCTTTGCCCAGAGCCCTCTCGGGCCTTGGGGACAGGTAGGTGGCTTGAGGCACCAGGCTCATGTCAAATTGAAAAGTATGATGCCGGTCCCAAAGCCTCCATCCATGGGAAATGGACCAGTGAGATGGTTCCTCAGGGCCATGTGGCCTAAGCCAGAGGGCCCTGCCAGAAGCCAAATGCCACTACACACTCATATCCATGGCAACCAGCAGGAAGGAGCACCCGTTTTCCCCTTCCCTGCCTTGTGGAACCTCCTGCATGCACCCAACATTAGCAGTGTGTCTTCTGTTAGCTGAGTGGGGCCAACTTGGGCTGCCTAATAGTTTTCAGGAGTTGCTTTAAATCAAGAGTGAGAGGACTCTGTCTGCCTCGGTCCTTCAGACTAAAGGAGAAAGTAGGGCACACTCAAGGCAAAGAGAGAGAGGCTGCTACAGTGGGTAGAGAGCTCAGGGAGAGGTAGAACCCTTCCAGGGGTGGATCAAAGTGGTGTGCACTGGGGCTTAGGGCTGAAGGGATTTTCATTTCCCCAGCCACCCCTGTGCGAGTGAATGTGGCCAAGCTAATGAGAAAACACTAGCATGGAAAAGAACGTGGGACACAAGGACATTGAATGGAATAGAGAAAGCTTACGGGGCAGGTCCTTTCACTGGACTAGCTTGTACCTGCCAAGAGGCATCTCCAGGCTTTGGTTTCCCTGTGTATACACAGGAAGGAAGTTGGCCAGGAGACTCTCCTGTTTTCTGTGCTCCTGCTGGCTCCATCCAGCTGGGCTTCTTCATAGGGACTCACCCCCCACTTTGTCCAGCCTCTCCAGATGGGATTCTCGGGAGCATGGAGTAACCTGTAATCCCAGCCACCCATCTTTAGGCAGCCCACTCTCTTTTTGGCCAAACCAGATCCTCCTATCTTCCCAGAAGGCCCAAGAGAACTAGGACATCCTTGTCCTTTTACATAAAACAGGACAAAATCATTCTTGGACTCATTCTGAGTGTCTCTTTCCCTGGCTTCATCCTGTCCCTTGTTCTCACTGCAGCTCCGTGAAGATACAGTGATGCTGCTCCCCCTCAGCTGGCTCTTGCCTGGGGGCGATATGGCTACATCCCCATGCCAGAAAGCTTCCCTAGTCCCTGTTCTGTTCATGAAACAAAGTGACTGGACAGTTCCAGTTTCTGAGGCTACCCTGACCCCTCATTCTCAAGCCATGATGAGAGGGCTGGTCTGGATGCTCCTTTGTCCCAGAAGAGATGGGCAGGCCCAGGGCACTGCTCTTGCCACATTTCCTCCCCTTTACAAAACAAGTGTTGGCGTGGCGTCGGCTCTGCTGCCCACTCATGCTGAAGGAGGCCTCACTATGACCAACTGTGATTGAGACCCAGGGACAGCATCTCATAGTGTTCCGGGCTTCACTAATTCTTGCTTTGGTGGCAGTTCTCAAACCCAGTACCACTGTCCACAGTTTGCCGTTGGTCCAGGGTCTCCAACCTGCCCTTCCAGGCTTCAGCCGCAGGGTTGGGGGAGTGATCTTTGCCTCAAGACAGCCCCCAGCTTCAACTGCACCAGATAACGGCTATGGCTTTGTGTGTGTGTGTGTGTTCTCTTTCTCTTTCGTTGTCCTTTTTTTTCTTCTCTCTGATGCGTGTAAAGGAGAGGACTAGAAGGAACGGTTCCCACCTCTCGGACGACAACGGACCCAAAGCGATCGATGTGATGGCACCCTCCTCAGAGTAGGGAAAGCCAGTCATCTCCACCCCACCCCACCTCCCGCCTCCGCGCGAATGAGCAGTGCCCGGCTTAACCTGGTCCGGCCTCGGGCCTACGTGCAGTGTCCGCATGCCTCGTGTCTGTCCACACGTCCGTTTGCGTCGTCCCACTAATGTGAATTTCAGCAGCAAGTGTGGTGTTTGTTTTTTATTTTTGTCTTTGTCTCCGTGCCGTTGCTGTCGTTGTCCTTCAATAAGGTTGACTGCATTCAGCCAGTGCCAAAAGAGGAGCCCAGTCCCGCTACCAAATTCCAGTCCATCGGGGTTCAGGTAGAGGACGACTGGCGGTAAGTTGGACAGAGGTGGTGGCCGCTTCTCCCCCTCCTCTCCCTCCCTCTGCTCTCACCTCTCCTGCTCTCCCTAACCCACTTCTCCTTGCTGGATTTCTAGTAACCAAGCTGGGTTTGGGGTGCTGGCGTGGCCCAGGCGTGGGAGGCTGGGCAGGGGGTGGGTGGATGGACAAATGAGCACTTGCTCTGTGAGACCAGTCAGCCCACGGGGGCCAAGGCTGGGCTGGGACATGGCCCCAGCTAACCTGATGTTGGTGGTCTTCCTGGCCCCACTGCAGTAAACAGGCAACCTTATGACCTTGTCCTCGTGTGTGTGTGCGTGCGTGTGGGTATGGGTGGGACGGGGCAAGGGCTGAGCAGAGAATGAGACGGGGGCTGTGGGACCCGCTTCAGGCGCATGGTGAGCAGATGATGCATCCGTTTCTCTGTCTCCCGTGTGTCCGGGTCAATTGGCCTCTGGTCTCTGGCCCTTTTGGTGACTCGCTCCTTCCTGTCCCTACCCCATCCACCCCCCACCCACAGAAGCAGCGCCCCCTCTCACAGTATGTCCTCCCGACGGGACACAGACTCCGATACCCAGGATGCCAATGACTCCAGCTGTAAGTCATCTGAGAGGAGCCTCCCGGACTGTACCCCACACCCCAATTCCATCAGCATTGATGCCGGCCCCCGGCAGGCCCCCAAGATTGCCCAGATCAAGCGCAACCTCTCCTATGGAGACAACAGCGACCCTGCCCTTGAGGCATCCTCGCTGCCCCCACCTGACCCCTGGCTCGAGACCTCCTCCAGCTCCCCATCAGAGCCAGCACAGCCTGGGGCCTGCCGCCGAGATGGCTACTGGTTCTTGAAGCTACTTCAGGCAGAGACAGAGCGGCTGGAAGGCTGGTGCTGCCAGATGGACAAGGAGACCAAAGAGAACAACCTCTCTGAAGAAGGTGTGTACTGTAAGAATGACCCCCTGGGGCAAGGGAACAGGGGCACATGGCTGTTCTCCAGCTTTTGGCCAGCCTAGGCCTCTGGGGAGAGTCTCTTAGATTTTGTTCTTGAGCCAGTTTTACTTTCATTTTTTTCCTTTCTGCCATCCATCTTTACCTACCAACTAAATGTCTTTCTAGTTAGGACTAAGACTAAGGCAATAGCTGCTAGTCGTGTAGGCTATGGGCTCAGCCACACATGAATTTGCATCCCAGCTCTTCCCTACTAATGACGTGACCTTACTCAGGTTACTCTGAGGCTATTTCCTAATCCTCCTCTTGAATTGCATAGGCGTGTTGTGAGGATTGAATGTGATGGTTGGTGTGAAGGGCCTGATGGAGTGCGGAACACAGAGAAAGTTGGTACCATAATTGTTCCATCAACAACTCCTTATTGTTTGTTGTGTGCCAAACACCAGAAATCTGACAGAGCCTTGATAGGATGTTAGGAACAGAAGTTTTCTACTTTTCCACTTACCATCTCTATCTATACCATGCCTAAAAAAAAAAAAAAAAATCCTAAGAAATGAGTTTAAGAAAGAACTAGATCGAGCTGGAGTATAGCTCAGTGGCAGAGTACTTGCCTAGCAGCAAAGCAAGAAAAGGCAGGCCCTTGGGAAGCTCCAGCCTATTGCTCTGCACTGACCTCATTCAGCCAAAGTTCTGCTTCCCATTAATTCCTCCTCCACAAAAGTTCAGGAAGGACAGGTCTTCATAGTGTCCAATACGATAGATTCACATTCCAGTAACCCTGCCAGGGTGGCCCGAGGAGTGTACCCTTTGATGATTTACAGCGCGCTTTGGAATCAGTTTTTATGGTCCTCTAGGCCAGTTCCCAGCTTTGATACACCCAGGTGTGTAGGGAACTGTTGTGGGGTATGTGCCTAATAACTTTATACAATGAGGTATTTAAAAAAATCAAACCAGAGGCAAGGATCAGAAAACACCCAAGGCGCCTGACAAACTATCCTGCCACTTCCCACTGCAGTCTTCCCCACTGCTAGCTCTGATCAGATGTCTGTTCTGGTATTTGCTTCCATGTTTCTTTTTCTTTTCTTTTCTTTATATAATTTTATTTTATTTATTTATTTTTTATGTGGTGCTAAGGGTTGAACCCAGTGCCTCACGTGTGCTAGGCAAGCGTTCTACCACTGGGCTACAGTCCCAGTCCTTCATGTTTCTTTTTTAAAATGTGATTACTTTCTATTTCCTCTCTAAAATTAGTCATCATTATGTGGTGATTTCATGTTATAATAAATGAGTGTTAGACCTATCAAAAGACCTCCACCTCCTGCACCCCACCCTCCACATATGACCTCATGTGGATTTTTGCTAAGTAACAGCCAATGCTTCTGTTTACTATGAGTATGCAGCTATTGTTTACTACATTCTAATTTATTATTTCAGTTTCTTTTTTAATACATTCTGTTTTTCCTAGAATGATTACTTCCTTTGTGGTACATTCTGTTTTCTAAATTTGTCGGGACAGGGTTACTGGTGATTGAACTCTGGGCTTTGCACATGCTAGGAAAGTGCTGTGGCACTGAACTACATCCCCAGTCCTTTTTATTTTTATTTATTTATTTTGTGTGTGTGTGGTGCTGAGGAGTGAACCCCAGGGCTTGTGCATGCAAGGCAAGCACTCTAACAACTGAGCTGTATCCCCAGCCCCACTTTTTATTTTAATCTTTTTGAGATTAATCGTTCTAGTTAAGTTGTTCAGATTGGCTTCAAACTTTAGATCCCCCTGCCTTAGCCTCCAGAGTAGCTGGAATTACAAATGTGTGCCATTAGGCCTGGTTCATTTTCTAAATTCTTTTTTTTTTAAATATTTATTTATTTATTTATGTATCTTTTAGTTTTTAGGTGGATACATTAGTTTGTTTTTATGTGGTGCTGAGGATCGAACCCAGTGCCTCATGCATGCTAGGTGAGCACTGTACCACTGAGCTACCACCCCAGCCCCATTTTTCCTAAATTCTTATTTGTAATTTCTCTACCTGCTCCACCAGATCCACCAACGCTCATCAATAGTATTTTCCAAATCATCAGATAAATCTCATGATTTCATATTTTTCCTGCCCCCTTGTCCTCTGCTTGGGCCTGGTTTATTGTTCTGCTGTTTAGCTGCTGTCCCTGAGATTTTTCCTTGCAACACCAGGGATTGTCCTTGGCATTTTTCCATGATGGGCATCCTGCTTTTTCGACCACATGGTCTTCTGCTTTCTTGGTTTTTGTCTGTCATTTTACTGGAATACATTAGAAAGAAATTTTTGGAAACTGTGCATGTATTCATTTCTCCCTATTTGTGATAGGGTCTTTCAAATGCTAACAAGTCCACTCTTACCATTGAGCCACATCCCAGCCCTGTAACAGCTTTATTGAGATATAATTCACATACCATAAAATTGACCCTTTTAATGTGTACAATTCCGTGACATTTAGTACATTCACATTGTTGTGCAACCATCATTTCTACCTAATTCCAAATTTTTTTTTTTTTTTTTTTTTGGTACTGGAGATTGAACTCAGGGGCACTCAACCACTGAGCCACATCCCTAGCCCTATTTTATATTTTATTTAGAGACAGAGTCTCACTGAGTTGCTCAGCCCCTCGATGTTGCTGTCTTTGAACTCCAATCCTCCTGCCTCAGCTTCCCAAGCCACTGGGATTATAGGTGTATACCACTGTGCCCAGAACATTTTAATCTCCCCAAAAGGATACTCCATATTCATAAACTGTCTTTCCCCCACCATCAATAGGCAGCTACTAATCTGCTTTCTGTCTCTATATAATTTGCTTAATGTAGACATTTCATATCAATGGAATCATATAATATGTGATCTTTTGTGTCTGACTTCTTTCACACAGCATGTTTTCAAGGAAAGTTCATCCATGTTGTAGCATGTTTCCATACTTCATTCATTTTTTGTTGCCAAATAGCATTCTATTTTATGAATATACTACAACTTACTCATGTATTCATCTGTTGGTGAACATTTGGGTTATTTTTAATTTTTGGCTGCTATGAATAATGTTGCTGTAAACATTCAAGTACAATTTTTTTTTTCTGGGGATTGAACCCAGCAGTACTTACTACTGAGCTACATCCCCATCCATCTCTTTTTAATTTTATTTTTTATTTTGAGACTGGGAGGGTTTCATTAAGTTGCTTATTAGGGCCTCACTAAATTGCTGAGGCTGTTCTTGAACTTGGCCTCCTGAGTCTCTGGGAACGGCATGTGCTGTTGCTCCCAGGTTCATGTACAAGTTTTAATATGAATGTTTATTGGTTTCTTTTGTGTATATATCTAGAACTGGAAATTCTGGGTCATGCAGTAACTCTGTGTTTACCTTTTAGAGAAGCTGTGAAACTGCTTTCCAAGCAGCTACACCATTTAACATTCCCAACAGCCGTGTATGAAGCTTTTAATTTCCCAGTACCTTTTTGACTATAGCCATCCTAATAGGTATAAAGTATGATCTAATTGTGGTTTTGATTTCCATTTCCATGGTAAATAGCAATGCTGAGCGTCTTTGTATGAACTTATTGGCTCTTAATATCTTTGTTGGAGAAATCTATTGAAATTGGGAGGTTTTCTTGACTTCATCTTCCAACCCTGCCCATCAAACCTTGACTGCAGCCATCTAAATAAGAGCTAATAGGTTTATTCTGTTCCTTTTTTATAAGATATTGTCCTTGTTTTATGGGTATTGTATCTTCTGTCTCTTTGAGACTTATATATATGGGGTTTTTAAAAATATATTTTTAGTTGTAGATGGACACATACCTTTATTTGTTTGTTTGTTTGTTTGTTTATATGTTGTGCTTCGAACCCAGTGCCTCATACATGCTAGGAAAGCATTGTACCTCTAAGCTATAACCCCAGCCCCAAGACTTGTATATATGTTTTTGTGTTTCCCTATATTGTCTCTAATTTTTTAGATTCCTCTGTGTGTGTGTGTGTGTGTGTGTGTGTGAGAGAGAGAGAGAGAGAGAGAGAGAGAGAGAGAGAGAATGTGTATGGTACTGGGAATTGAACCTAGGGCCTTGTACATGCCAGGCAACTGCTCATAATGCTCTACCACTTAGCTATACCTTCAGGCCTTTTTAAAAAATAAACATACATGCATGTATACATCCATACATACATACAGGGAATTGAAACCCAAGGTAATATACCACTGAGCTGCAACCCCAAGCTTTTTATTTTTTTATTTTTTATTTTTATTTTTTGAGACAGGGTCTTGCTAAGTTGCCCATGCTGGCCTAGAACTTGATCTTCCTATCTCAAAGCCTGCCAAGTATTTGGGATTACAAACAGATGCCCCTGCTGCCAGCTAATTGGCCTTTTTATTGAGTTTTAAGAATCCTTTATATATTCTGGATATTAGCCCCTTTCGTATATATGTCTTACAAATATTATATTCTGTGCTATCTTACCACTTTCTTGATAGTGCGCTTTGATGCATAAATATTTAAGTTTGATGAAGTTTATCTGTTTTTGTTGTTTATCCTTCCACTTATTCCACTAACTTTAATTATGAGTAACTATTTTGATAAAAATTAAAATTAGGGTATGATTGAAGCATTGAGATGCTGCCCAACAGTTCTTGTGGGCAGGTCTTATTAAAAATAGACTTCTATGGACACTTTCTCAAAATAGTAGTCTTAAATGCATAAAGTAAAAATTATACCAAGATTATCAATGACATTAATATGCAGTTATTAAAATTTTGTGATATAGTAGCACATGTTTCTTTAATGCATTAAGTAACAAGATCTATTGTGAATCTAATTTCTGTCACTTCAAAGTAGCAAGGACCAGTGTTATCTGTGATTTCTAATAATGACAGAGTTCTACTACAATCTCCTAATGTGAGACCTCGAAGAGCCATTTTGGTGAGATGGCAGGATCAAGAATTGTGCAGCCTGATTAGAGAAGGAGTAAGAGAAACT